GAAAAAAACATCAACTGAATCGCATGAATCACTTTGTAACTTATTTGAGAAAGATGTTATCACTGTTCATCAATGTCAAAACTGGTTCAAAAGATTTCGAAAGGGTGACGGAAGTCTGGAAGATCTGGAACGAGGACACCGCTCACAGGCTGTAGCAAACAACGGTTTGAAGCAGATAATCGAAAGTGATCCGACAAAGACTACACGTGAACTTGCGGAATGTTTTAATTGTGATCATAAAACAATCGAAAAACATTTGCATGAAATGGACAAGCTCAATAAAGCTGGAAAACATTCACTAAGTGATGCAAGCAAAGCTATCAGAGTTCTGTTCAGGAAATTTGCTTCAAATTTCCAAGAATAGTGGATTTTGGGATGCAATTTTAACTTCTGATAAGAAATGGATTCATTATGGTAATATTACTAGGATAAGATAATGGCTCGACCCGGGTGAAATTCCAAAGCCAATACCTAAACCCGATTTTCACGGAAAAAAAGTTATGCTGTCGGTTTGGTGGAATACCCGAGGCCCGGTTCATTTCGAAGTGTTAATTTCTGGTCAGACTGTTGATGCAAATCTTTATGTTCAACAACTAGATCGCGTGGACGCGGTTCTTCGCGCAAAAGGAATTGATCCGACAACGGTATGATTGTTACAAGACAATGCCCGTCCGCACGTTGCCAAGACTACGCAAAAGAAAATTGAGCAATTGGGCTGGGAACTTCTAATTCATCCGCCCTATAGTCCTGATATTGTCCCGTCTGACTACCATTTCTTTCGAAGTATGCGGTGTTCACTCGAAAGCCACAAGTTCCAGAACATTGACGACATCAAAAAATGGGTCTCTGCTTTCTTTCAATCAAAACCAGCACAATTCTTTCAAGAGGGTATCCATAATTTGCGTCAAAGATAGAAAAATGTTATTGATAACTGTGGGAATATATTGTTGATTAATTGTTTCTGCTTTATTTTTACGAATAAATTTTGTTGTTGCTCAAAAACGAAATTTCAATGTCGCCAACCAAATAAATCTCAAAAAAGGGACCGACCGACCGGTTTTTTGTTCACAGATCTATTTGATAATCTTACTAGGGAATTTTGTCAAGTCAAGATTGAGTTTTCACATGCGCTTTGGCCCATCTGATAGACTTTCCATCAAGGATTCTGAATCTGCTTCTAGTTTTTTTTTCGAAACGCTTCTGTGGCCGGAAGGTAGAAGGTAATAAGTAATGAGTAAAGTTTGTAAATCAGCTGAAAAAATGCCAAATATCTCGTGTTACAGAAGCGTTCCGGTAAAACTAAAAGCAGATTCAGAATCCTTGATGAAAAGTCTATCAGATGGGCCAAGGCTCATGTGAAAACCCGACCTTGACATTTGACATTTGACAAAATCCCCTAGTAAGATCATCGAACACAAAATCTGTGAACACAAAATCGGACGGTCGGTCCCCTTTTGAAACCTAGAGGTCGAGATCAAACCTTCAAGAACTAAAGAAAGATGAAAAATTCTATCGAAGACAAGTTCTATCAACTTCATCACCTCTAGACAGCGCTACTTTGCTGCAGGGATCGAAAAACTGGCTATTCGTTGGCAAAAGTGTATTGATTCTAACGGTTGTTGCTTTGATTAATTTGATTTTTTAAAATAAAAATTTTTGCAATTGGAAATTCTTAAGAAAAATGCAGTTATTCTCCGGAGTACCTAATCAATATCATTCGAAAATCCACTCATGTACCTGAACTATCGAAACTCGTAATAATTGTTGTTGCATCGTTTGTGTTTTGATACCCGGAGGAGGCCCAACGTGAGGAAGTTTGTATAAAAGAGTTACAACAACAATGATCCAACTAAAAGCTGAACTTCGAGAACTTTAAGTTACTCCGGTATTAGTTAACAAATAAGCTGAACGTATTTTTAGTTTAAAGTATGAGCTCGACACAGACTTTAATTTATTTAAAAGATCAACCTCATCACAAAGACCCCGAGAAGTCCGCTTAATGCAAGTGACAGGGGAAGATTTGAATCGTTTATAAGAACAGAGCAATCAATTGAAGATTTGATCTAAGAATTGTTTAATTGTATTTTTCTCTGAAAATTTTTAACATAAATGAAGTTACCCTATTATTTTCGTGTATTTGATAAGGAATCACCAAATAATCAATGTAAAAGACGATTGTGATCACCAAAAGAAATACGCTCGTGTAAAAAAACTAAAAAAATTAACATTTTTCAAAATTGCTTTATGTTCATACAGAAAATATTCGTCGAACTCGAATTTTCCATTCTGGAGACGATATAGCGAGACATCGAAGAAAAAAGTTATACACATGTAAAAGAAGATGAAAGATAGAGAGAAAAAAATAAATGTGCTAGAATTTGCAATTAACAAGAAACAATAACCATCTCATCTTACAGCAAATATGAGAAGCTCCGCTGGACTGAAATTTATTAAACTAGCTGAAATGATGGTGAAAGAAGGGATAAGGACGGGGCGAGTGTAGGCCAAAGTGGTCGTCATTGATAGGGAACATAGCTAAAATGAGATGTAAAAGGGGCTGATTCCAGGTGAGAAATTTCTATCGCCGATAACTATTATTTTGTTTTTATTTGATGATTTTTATACCAAAAATAGTAGAAACAAATTGGCTGATTGATTTCCTGCCTTATTCGGCAAAATTTTGTTGATGAACATCTCCTGCTGCGGCACACAGGTTTGAACGAGCCAACTGGCAACCCACTCCCCTCGCTGCCGGTTCACGGTTCAAATTAGAATCATTTTCTTTTTTGGACTTTTCATTCGAGATGAGTTCGAGCGAAAATGAAGCTATTGAAAATGATAAACTGACGTACGTCATTGTTGTGTTAGCACAATTGGAAATTTTCTTACAACATTGCTATATTAGCGGGAAAACTCAAGGAGGCCGAAGTAAAGGAGAGTCGAGAACAATCAATTGGGCAAGAAATGGAATTTGCCGTAACAGCCGTAACTCGATGTTCATGTCAAAATGATAAAAGAATTTGATGGTCCACCCAGAAGTTTGTAGAAGGTACAGAAACTTGGTTGGCCAACCTGGCAATCACAGCAGCCGCTCAAGTCGCACAGATTGGCCACCCTAATTTGGCTTCATGCTTTTATGTTTTGAAAATGCCGTTCTGATCGAAAGGACATTTTCTTCGTTTTTCAAAACATCATGTATGGCCTGTATCTATCAGACAACAGGAGTATTTGATGTAGATCGGGAATCCTGGATACAAATCAACAAGTTAGACTTAAGATGAGCTAGATTCTCATTGGAAGCTTGGTAAAGTGTTATTGTCAATGCCCAATAAAATATTTAAGCTGTTCACCCAATTGAAACCAACTACCCTTTCTCCAGCGCCAGATTAACAGTCTTAGACCACTCGACCACGCGTATAAAGGAGCTTCAGTAATTCCACTTTTTACAAAAAGGCCAAACTTTCAGTCAAATCGATTCAGCCGTTTTTTCTAAAATCGCATAACAGACAGACACACAGATATACTCTCGCTCTCTTATAATAAATAACGATCAAAACGATCATTTAGCTTAGAATCAAGACAAAATTATCATTTACTTACAATGATCGCAATTTGAAGCATTCTGAACGTTTTAATATGATCTGGAGCTTTCACACAACTGAATATACCAATAGTGGGTGAGCAAATAAAGCCATCGATTAGAAGTGGAATTAGATAAAGAGTCTCGAAAATTGAATATTCGGACATTTGAGTCTGATCGTGGGAAAAGTGAGCCCAACGTGACTTTTTGTGAACCCAAAAAGTAGAGTGGGCGAATTGGAAATCAAAATGGAAACAGGTGTTTTTGAGAATCAGGAGACAGCTGTAAATTTTAAGAAGTAGTTTTCAGCCTGTAATGAATATCTGTTGAACCTTACTGTTTATAATACCCTAATTTTAGGATACGATCACCTATCATGATCCTGGTTACATCACTTATTGTTGTCAGGGTAAGTTTTGTAACTTCCGAAGTTTCCATAGCTTTTCCTTTATCTTTTCGTTTTTATTTCTGCTTAATTTCTTTAAAATTGGTTTATTATAAATAAGTATTTTTTCATAAAGAAGAACACCGAAAGACCAGCTGGAATTTGGCGGTGAAGCGGTATGGAGTAAGAGACTCTCTCTCTTGTTATGTAGATTAATCTTGTTATGGCAAGAAGTTAACCGGGTCCATTGGTCCTTCTCAACTCGGCTCTTGATGCCCAGCGCCACAAGACGGTCCTGGAGAACAAATTTCTTCCTTTTGCGACCGCCAAAATGGGACAAGGATGGTTCCTCTACCGGGACAATGCTCCTTGCCACAAGAGTCAGTTGCTTATAGGCCGCACTGTTCGACTTGACAATGGAGGAAGAGCTCGACTACCCGGATGGTTCCGCGCGAATCGTGTTCAACTCGTTTCTGCTTCTCCATAAAGCCCCGATTTGAATGTTATTGAACACCTATGGGCGTTGATCAAGACGAAACTCAAGGGAAGACGGTTTAGCTCTAAGGCGGATCTTTGGTACTTCGTACGGCGAGCTTGAGCGACAATTGCGCCACAAATTTTACGCGATCTAGTTGACAGTATGCCCCGGAGGCTCCAAGCGGTCATTGGAGCTAAAGGCGGACCTTCAAAATATTGAATTTTTCGTCTCTATGTCTGTGCCGCCAAGACTTTTGTCCATTGTTTTTGTGACCTTTTTGTCGCTTACGCTTATTTTTGTTGTTTAAAATAAAATTTCGAGTTCAATGTTTGGTCATAGCTAAAAGTAGAGTAAAAATGCTCAAAAATACTTGTGAAAACTTTTTTATAGCCTCTTGGAAAGGTTCCTAAATTTGCGTTTGAAAGTTGCCACCCAGGAGCCGCCAAGACTTTTGTCCATGACTGTATATGTCAAATGTGTGGTCTCTTCATTTTTTCCTTCAAATTAAGAATACCTAAGTAAGAGATGATTTCAGGGTTCTTGTTCATTTTTAATCACAATTCACATTTCATAGCCACTAGAAACGATTTCCAGCCCCAGTACTCCTTCCAATAACAATAGGACCCTAAAATGTTGTTGATATAATGTATGAAACTGCCTTTGAAACACGTTTATCTTTAAAATCATGGTTCTGGCATTTATATGTCGTAGCCATTTACGAAATTCAGCCGCTAACGAATGATTCGTTAATGGCTAGCCGATTACAAATGAAATTTTTTCGCTAGCCGTGCACAATTTGTAATCACCTTCTGCGAACATGGCTCAAATCAAATGAGTCTTTGATTTCAAACTATTTATGCAAGACGCAAATCAGCAAACTAACCACAACAAGTGAAGTAAAATTTATAACATTTAACACGTATAACATATTAACGCTTATAAAATAATAACGTTTATAACAAGCAAAACATCAACTAAAATGCATAAAAACAAACTGTTTATTTGTTGGTGCAGGAATTACTGTGATGACATCGGCTATTGCAGAGCATATTGGTTTGGAGGCACACACATCGTCCATTCGTGCATCCATTTGTGCAATTGCAATGCTTGTGACCTAAAACATAAAATTATCCCGTTAAATGAAATATTTAAGTTTACCCTGAGTTCCTGATAATGATTCGGCTCCGATAGCTGAACGAAATGTTATATGTTGAGAAGGGACGTCATCGGCTGAGAGAAAATTTTTGTTGGCCGGTTCAAATTGATTCCGGGTGAGCCTAAATGTTAAATATTAATGAACAAATTTAATATTTAAGTTTCACTAACTTTTGCTGCAAAACTCCATTCTTGGTGCCAATCTGATATAAACCCTCCTCCAAAGACAGCACGACACCAAAAAGAAACGGGTGGCCGATTTTAGGTCGATCGACGACAGATTGGGAGACGAACCGTCATTCCAACTGCAACTGGTCCAAATCTAGAAAATCAACCAAAAAACTTAAAAGTTTAGTTTCAGAATTATGAACGCTAACAAAAACCTGTTTTTCGATTCCTCCAGCATCTTGTCGGCCTGTTTCTGTTGAGATTCGACGGCTCCCTTTCGATGCTGCTCAATTTCTGCCACCCGTTGAGTTAAAACTAAAGATTAAAATGAATGCAATACTATCCATTAAATCGAATCAAGATAAAAAACAAACCAAAAACCACTAACCTGACTTACGATCGGAATCGAGTTTTTCGTCTGACTTAGGAAAGTATGACGGATTTTCTGTGCTAGATGCCAATATTGCCTCACTCCAATCGTCAAATTTCTCGCCTTCGAAAACCTAAAAAATGCAAACTAAATGCTTAGAATGAGGTAGGACACAATTGTCCTACCTCATTCTCAATATCCGTGACATTTCTCACTTCATTTGCTGGAACCTTTCCGTTTTCATTTCCGAGTACCATTTTTTTCCAAACATTGCTTCAAAAGGAGATCGGCCAATTCCTCGATGAAAGCGTCTATTCTTCATTGATTGCACAATGGGAAGAATACGTGCCCATTTTGACGATTTTTCTTCCCTCAATTGTGTACAGAGAATCTTCTAAAGAACAACAAGGGTACGATTTTTAAATGTGGTTTAAAACAACATTAAAAACATACTTTAACATCCTGATTTGCTCGTTCGACTGTTCCTTGACTCAAAAGTTCTTTTACCTAAACAATCACATTTCACCGGTACTAATAAAAGAATTAGGTTTCATTAAAAACATACCATTTTGTTAGCGAATTCTCGTCCATTGTCGGATTGAAGAATTTGTGGGGCTCCAAAAGTGCCAAATATTTCTGTCAAATGATCGACCACCTCAAAAGCCGTTTTTGTTTTGAGAGCCTTAAGAATAACAAATTTTGTGAGGTGATCCTGATAAACCATCAGAAACTTGTTGTCGCCGTCCGGAACCGATTGAGGATCAATTAAGCGTTTATATTGCTTGGCAGCGTTCATTTTGCTCCTTCGTTATGATCGGCTTCACAACAACTCCTTTTTTGACGCCCCCTTCTTTAATTCACATTCCGAGCAAAGTTTGATAAAAATCTCGAGTATTTCCTTTGAGATCCCATGATAATCTCGTCGCAGTTCTTTCCACATCAGATCCCGGCCGGTGTGTCCTAGTCTTTTGTGAGTTGACGTGAAAACATCGACGAGTTCCTCTTTCTTGACGACTCGTTTTGGTTGTTCGTTATCCTAAGCGAACTACCTATTTCAACCGTCTCTCACCGTCTGGCTGTCGCTTACGACCATACCACGTTGAATACACCGCATCTCGATCTACTAAGTTAAGCAACGTTGGGCTCGGTTAGTACTTGGATCAGAGACGACTTGGGAATCCCGAGTGCCGTAAGCCTTTTGCATTTTTGTGAATCGCTCTTGGAACCTGGGAAATGAATCATTTTTTGGACAAAGTACTACTCGAAATCTCATTCATCTGAAAACGACAAAATCATGCTGGGAATCAATTTTCAGCACCTGTATTTTGCAAAATTTTCTCCACCACATAGTGAACAATCTCCCGCGTGGTTCCGTGCCACCGTTTCACTGAAAGTGAAAATGAGGAATTGACACGATAATTGATAAATCACGCTAAAAATGAAATAAAGCATCAAAGCTATCAAGTCTATTTCACATTTTTAAGCTCATTTGTGCACCCTCTTTACGGGGTGCCTTCCAAAATTTTTTCAAGACACTTTTGCAAGGTCTTGGGGCTGATACTAACCTCAAACTTGGGTAATTAAACCGAAAATTCAGGTCTCTGTCGCCCTATGTGGACGGGCCGTGTGCCAGATGCCACTTTTCCTTACGAGACACGCAAAATGTACACACAGTCGTCTCGCGTCTCTGCGAGAATTGATGCTCTCTCGTGTTCGCTGGCGGCCGCCTATTTCAGACGTTTCTCACAGCCGTTTTGGTGATTAAATCTTTTTTTAAACATAAATAGCTTTGTTTTTATAAAAAAAGGGAAATTTCTATTTTCAAATTTAAAGATAAAGGATCCACAGAGGTTTTCGATATATCCTTTGATCAAAATAAAAAAATTTTTGGAAGGCACCCCGTAAAGAGGGTGCACAAGAATGTGGAAATTGAAAACGAAAGCTTTCTTGTCGTTCTTGCTCAATAAATCTTGTTCAAGACACTTTTGTAAGGTCTTGAGATAAATGCTAACCTCAAACTTTGGTAATTAAACCGAGGCAAAAGGTCTATATCGCCCTATGTCGAAGGGCCATGTTCCAGATGCTGTTCTTTTCTACGAGACGCACCAAAAGTACACACTTTTGCATCGTCTGCGTCTCTTCAACAAGGGATTTCCAGGTCCCAGAACGAAAACTGGTTGTCTATCAAAAGCAATGTTTGGAAAAATACCTTCATAAGGCAAAATTGGCTATCATTGATTGAATATCTAATTATATTCTTGTAAAAGTTATTCAGTAATGCCAAATTTGGCATCAATTCGCTTCTCAACGTTTCCGAATGAGTTGAAAGGGTTAATATTGGAAAAATTGGGTCCAAAAGAGAGTTTTCAGCTTTTAAAAACCAATTGTTTTCTTCGCTACAAAATTTTATTCAGCGGTTTATTCGGGAAACGAGTTGATGAAGTAAATTTCGTTTTTGACGAGCGCCCATCGTGGAATTATTACGGGCCAAGTATTTTCCCTTGCACTTCAAAATCTTTCACTGCTACTGTCACGAAAAATGGATCTTTTCACGAATTTGACATCTTACAACAAAATTTTATCTCTATCTCACTTCTACAAAATGTAACGACTTCCCAAAATTTGTCTCTCTCCGATCGTCTTCGCGATTGTCCGATGACAAAAAATTACGGGAATCTCGACGAATTGCTCAAAATTTTGATGAGAAAACTGAATTTTGTGAAAAATATTTATATCCAGGGAGTTACAACAAGATTTTTAAACACGATCTGTGAGGGATTTTGCTTCAAAGTCACGGGATCCGCAAATTTCCAGACAACTGTGCGGGGAGAGATGAAAAGCGCTGACAATTTCATGAATTTCATCGAAAATCGACTGAGATTTTGCAGAAAAATTTCAATTCATGGTTTATGTGAAAATTTGCTGAACGCTTTATTGAAGACTCGAGTTGAGATAGTTGAAATTTTGTCGGACGGCGAATTTCTGGAGTGTTTCCCGAGATGGATCGTGAGAAACGGATTGCCCAGTGAGAACGAGAATTGCTCAATTCTCATTTCTGTTCCATTTTTTACGTCAAATCACGCGGGATTCCGGGATAATAGCGCAATTGATCCGTTTACTTGCAATCCTTTATTGAAAAGTGTGAAAGATATGGAGACTTGCAGAAAAATGGAGCTGGCAATGAGAGAAAGGACTGATGAAGAAATTAGGAGACTGAATTCAGTACAGTGCTTTCAAAAGCGTGATTTCGTGGATGATTTGAGATTTTTCATGGCCAGAGAAATCGAGAGCGAAACGGCGATGCTGCGTTTCTTTGTGAAACGATTGAGGTGAGGCTTGTGTTTTTTCTAATTCATTCTGATTCAATTTCTGATTTCTTTTACTTCTAATTCTGATTTCTAATTCAATTTTCAAAAACTACTATAGTCTTGACTCTAGTTTTATCTAAACTAACGTAAATGTTGTATTAGTACGACATGTCGTTCTATTTTTCACTCAAATGGCCATTGTGGATCACAAAAAAGTATCCATTTCAAAGAAGCGTATTTGATTCAATAAGTATTAAAAACATCAATTTTAACAAATCAAAACGTTATGATTTGGTCCCGTACACGCAAAGAGAGTTTATGCCTTCGAAAGAAACTTTCTAACCATCCGTGACTTTTATTGAAATTGACCCTTGCTCTTGTAAATTCCATTGATGCCTTGTCCAGAACAATCCTTCAAGTGATTTACTTCTTATCGTCGCGTTGAGATCGACAACAGCAACTTTTTCAGCATTTATTGCTGGTTGAAGGTTGAATTTTCGAAGTTCTATCTTTTGGTCTAAAAACTTCTGAAAAAGTAGCCGTTGAAGTGGTTGAATCTCGTTTTTCCGCTATACATCTATTGACAATCAGCTCAACAAATGAACAGCTCTAGTAGGCTATAGTTTCAGAACAACGTCGAGAACAAGCATTACTTTACAGTTTACGGTTTTTGTGAAATGAAATTTGTAAAAAAGTAATGCTTGTTTGCCTGACTTTTGCGTTTTAAACTTACAATTTTCTTATAACATTATAACATTTCTTATACATTAACATTTAGAAATTCACGTAAATTGATTCGAAGATATTGCTTAAATTCAGATTTATCATTCATTCATTTAACAACTTCGAATTTGAATTTGAATTTGAATTTGAATTTGAATTTGAACTTGAATAGAATTAATTTATTCTTCAGTCTCTACAATTTTTTCTTGTGTTCAATAAATTGTATTTTGTATTTTGCATAGTACTTGTAGATACTTGATTAGAGTGTGTTCCTCTTGAGAAATCACAAAGCTCAGGCAATGATATCAAAATTGAGCTAATCGGATGTAACTACGGTAGCTACGGTAGTTTGACTACGGTCGCTTTCTGAAAAAGGTGCCTTTTCGAAAACGAATTACTGAAGAGGAACACATTCTTTTCTTGGCCAATCCATTCAAGTTTTTTCCTTGCTTAAGCTCAATCTTCTAGTTTCTGTCACCGTTTAGTTTTCAAACCCATTGCCTTACTCAAAACTCCAAATTCTTGATCTTTGAATAATAAAAAATTATATAAAATCACCAAAAAAGCACAGCAAAACTTATAAAATGACAAAAAAATCAAAAAACATTTTCATAAAAAAACCCATAAACAGCTCGTAAACGTTTTACGAGAAATTTGGGGTGACAAATTTTTTGAATAGATTTAAACAAACAAAAATTGTTGCCAAAAAAAATAAAATCAAAGTTTGAATACACAGGAGGTAAGTCATGATATTGTACCTTAAACCAGGAATTTTTGGAAAGAATCAAATCTAGAAAAATCTTTATTTGGTTAAGATCTCACCAGCAGAACAGCCTAACGGCGGGATGCTTCAGAAATCGTAGAAATGATTGCCAGAAATGATTGCCCTGTGTTGGAAAACCCCACCATGCAAATTTCAGCGTAAAATGCAAATTGTGGCGCAGTGGATAGCCGTGCTCGCCTTACACGCACATGACCCGGGTTCGACATCGATCACGGTATAAGGCGAATATACGTTTTCTTACAAATCAAAAATCTGGCTGCTAGAAAATGTTTTTGAATGTTTACTGAACTTAAAACAAAAAAAATTGAAAATTGGTCTATCCAAAAAAAGTTATTGCAATTTGAAGTTGTCCTAATTCCATGTGGTCGCCCTGTGAATTAAAAGAGCCAATTTTTTTTTACTTTTCTTCTTTTTAGTCGCATTTTAGGATTATTAAGCATGCTGAATCTGAATTTTATTTCAAAATTATAGATTGTTTGACACATTGTTGTTTGCCATTTTAGACACAAAATGAAAGTGATAAGGTACATGAGTCGCTGAAGCCACACGGGGAACATCATCGAATTCATCACTTTGTACAAGACATTGTACAAAAAGAAGAGCAGAGTCAAATCGAAAGCCAAAAAGCCGGTTCCCTGGGGAAATTTGGAAAGTTTTTTCATGTGTTTTCTAAACATGTACTTTTTTGAAAGTGCATTAAATTCGAGTGGAACACAAACTAAATCGTAAGTCTGTAGATTTTTGCCAAAATTC